CAATTCTTTCAGCCTTCCTTCATAGGTCATGTTCTCTAGATCTTTTATCGTTCTTGCATCTGACGAAGTGGGTCTTTGCCCACGAAAGCTTATGCTCCAAAACTTCAGTTAGTCTATAAGGTGCCACAGGACTCCTCGCCGCTTTTGCAGATTCAGACTAACACGGCTACCCCTCTGATACTTAATCATTCTTGTTGCTCTTCTCTGGACCTTCTCCAATTTCTCCACATCTTTCTTGAAATGTGGTGCCCAGAACTGGACACAATACTCCAACTGAGGCCTAATCAGCGCAGAGTAGAGCGGAAGAATGACTTCTCGTGTCTTGCTCACAACACACCTGTTAATGCCTCCCAGAATCAGGTTTGCTTTTTTTGCAACAGCATCCCACCGCTGACTCCTATTCAGCTTGTGGTCCACTTCCAGTCCTGGGATTCTATGATTGTTGAGTATGTGTCCGGAATCGTTCTTCCTCCCTTGTGCTGTTGAGTATGTGACCGGAATCGTTCTTCCTCCCTTGTGCTGAGTGTACACAGGGCATAATCCTGCTCCCTTGTCTGTCTCACAGGACTGTGGTATGCCGCCGTTTGCTTTTCTAAGGTGCTTGGAAGAGAAAAAGTGCTATATAACTGCCGTATTATTCATTTTTCAAAAAATTACCTGCTGAGGCTTTGCTGCCTTTTTCAAGGGAGGACAGAGAAGCAGTTTTATCGCCTGCCCAGATATCATCCAGCCAGCATAAGCAGGCGACCGTAAGGAACATCTGCATTCCTTGCAGAACTAGAGCAACTGTACTGCAGGAGCTGAACTCAGCTTCACAGCCACTTACACTTGTCCATAGCTTTCTGCTCCCGCCGCCTACCGTCCAGGTGTATTACTTACTGCTGCGGGGTTCTTTCCTGGGGCCAGAGGACCTTCCTGGTTGTTCAGAGATCTTTAGGGATCTCTTTTCACTCTGCAGCCCTTCTCTTTTGGTGCCCCTCGCTGATCAGCCAGTCGGTATTTCTAATGCACTCACCGCCTTGGGGAATCAGTGGGAAATGTTCTGGCCCTTACAGAAACCTAATTTTGCTCAGATTATGCTCTGCACGGAGGGCGAGATGCCATTATCCATATGCACGAGAAACAGTGCGTGTGAGCGCAGTGCCATGTGAGTAAGAGCTGCAGAATCTGATCCGTAATTGACAGGCATTTCAAACACCACGTCTGAAAGCCACTTTAATTCTTTCACTTTTATTCGTACCCGACCCATCCCTGCATATCTTCTGCATGCAGAATTCCTGGTGACTTCATTTCATTCACGAACTTCAACTGAGAATTCTCCAATCCAGGGCCCTTTTTAATTAGTCCAATCATTGCTACGAGCTCTGAGCATTAGCATTTTAATTGCTTGCACTGGCCTCGCAGCAAGGCATAGGGAATAAATACCATGTCACTGCATTCAGGTAACAGTCGGGCCCGTTCTCCTCTTACATCAGTGCATCTCAGTTGACTTCTGTGCAGCTACTCTTGATTTACACTGGGGTGAGTGAGAGGAGAATTAGGTTCGTTTGCTCTGGTCTCGTGGGTTTTAATGTAGCCAACCCCCTAGAGGGAATGTGACTGCAGCCCCAGTCTTTATTTTGTATATAGCATACCTCCCTCCTCATGCCCATCACCTGGGAAGCAAATGAGAAATATGCCAGGAATCAGAGCTATTGGCGCTTGGCCCAGAGTTTCTTTTCATCACTAAGTGAGACAGGAGAAAATACAATTAGACAAAGGAATTACCAAGTATAATGCACATTAGATGTCTGAAAATACCCCTCCCAGAACTCAGTTAATTAAATAAATGAGCTAACGAGCAAATGAAATTAATTGTGGTTATGAAGTGTTCCCCCCCCCATTTTGTGCTGCTCATTAGCCTTTGGCTCAGAGACACCAATTTCTTATTTTCTTGCACTATCCAGGCAGTGTGAGGAACAAGACAGCTGGCAGATGACTCAAACAAGCAGAGGCAGAAAAATGGTTGTTTTTATGTGTACAGCAGCATCCAAAAGCCCCAACTGAACACACAGCCCTATTGTGCTAGGTGCTGGACTCACCCTTTATAAGAGACAATCTCTGCCGTGAAGAACTTACGATCTAACTAGACAAGCCACGTGCCATATGAAAAGGGAGAGAGACTTGCCCCAGGCAAGACTAGAACAGAGGTCTCTTGACTCCCAATAAGGCAGGCAACTGCTGTAATTTATTGCTGGTGACAGAGTGGGTTAGATCTTTTATAAGAAAATGTCGAATTTACAGTGGAGCTGTGATGAATGGGCTGGTTAGTTCGTTTACAAGAAAATGTCTAATTTACAGTGGAGCTGTGATGAATGGGAGGGGTTCTACACTTTTCTGGACTTTCTGGGTTCTCAGAGGGGTTTTTGCGTTTGGGTGGTGGCACGGAATCTGTGACCTTGTGGAATCCGTGACCTTGGGGAGTGTAATGGGGCTAGGCTGTAAGGCCAAAAGGGCCATAGAGAAGTCCTCCAGGAGTTTAAAGTGGCTGGGAAGAAACCAGCCAATCAGAGGCCAGGAGGAACTATATAAGAGGAGCTGCAGGACTAGAGATAGCTCAGTTGCAGTCCAGGCCTGGAAGGGAGAAGGTTGAGCAGGCTGGCACAAACAAATACACAAACAGACCAACCACAGCCTAGAGTGGGGAGCTGTGTAGGACATTGTCTCAAAGAGGAGAAGCCCTAAAGACACCACTCTCCTGAGTGGGGAAACAGATTGAGAGACTGGACTCAGAGGGTATGTCTACACTACAGCACTAATTCGAACTAACTTAATTCGAATTAGTTAATTCGAACTAAGCTAATTCGAACTACAAAGAGGAGAAGCCCTAAAGACACCACTCTCCTGAGTGGGGAAACAGATTGAGAGACTGGACTCAGAGGGTATGTCTACACTACAGCACTAATTCGAACTAACTTAATTCGAATTAGTTAATTCGAACTAAGCTAATTCGAACTACTGCATCTAGACCTAAAAACTAGTTCGAATTAGCATTTTGCTAATTCGAACTAGCATGTCCACATTGAGTGGACCCTGAACCGAGATTAAGGTTGGCCAGAAGCAGTGCCGGCAGGGCATCAGGTTAGGACTTAGAGTGTGGAGCTGCTGTCTCAGGCTAACCGAGGGCTGTGCTTAAAGGGACCCGACCCCCACCCCAGACAGACAGTTCTCAGGGTTCCCCGCTTGCTTGTCTAACTCGATGAGGGACAGCAAAGCAGTCCTGGCTTGGAGTGCCCTGAGTGCCCATCTACACTACCCCGCTAGTTCGAACT